GGGGAGTGAAAATTCAATAAATTACCTATGGTGTTGATGGAGAGAAAGAAAAGAGACTTGACATCCCCAATGTTTTTTCTAAGGGTCAAGCAATTCTGGGCAGTTGCTGATAACGTCATCAACTGACTTACACTCACTTTCTTAAAATATCGCTCAAAATTGTCTAAACACCGTCATCTCAATATACTCTGGATTCTTAAATATTCCATCTTTAGGCAAATGTTTCAAATAGTTTTGGATGTGGTCTGTAAGGACATATCGTTCTAGCTATTATTATCATTTCAACAGAGAAAGTATTTCGGCAAATCGTTCGTATGATCTTTAAAACTATTCGAATTTATATGTGCAAAAATGGCGTAACCACGACCATCAGCATTTGCATCGTTGCGGCCAGAGTAATTAGAGCACAGACTCCTAACTCCCCTTAAAATAAAAAGACGTAAGTCTTCTTTAGAAAAATATAAACACACCTAATCATGTTGTCTTTTTAGGACTGACTCAACTGGATACGATTGTGTGAAGTCAAATTGGGAAAAATACTTTAATAAGATTACGCACACGTTTCTATTATACTTCACGTGTTCAATTAATGAATGCCTCTATGTCTCCTATGCAAAGATATTACACTATGATCATTAAAGCACTACTTTAATGGGTACAAAAATTCGAACGATTAAAAAAAAACTAATAGTCAACAAAAATCATCCGGTAAACGTTTGTAGGGAACTATTGATACTAAAAAGAAAGATAAATCGATAATATATGCGTAGCTAAAGCCCAAATAAGGAAGTTATGCAGGATCTGCGAACGTTATTTACCTGCTTACACAAAGAAAAATCTACAGCATTTATCTGTGAGAACTAAACTTTTTTTTCGAAAAAAAAGCTATGATTAAATGCTCATGCTAAAACTGCAACAAAGCACACATACCAAATAAGAAAATGTCCACCAAAAGAGCAAACACTTAACAACGTAATGTCATCTCACACATTTAGCCCTATATATGCAAAGAGTCACCAAGTGCTGCAGCGTTTCATCTATGAATTTGATTGAAAAAATAGCATTGAATCGCTTTTAGGTAAGGCAGTCATCGCCAGACGATTCGAATCAAGTAGGCAGGGAGTATTTGGAACCGCTTATCAATCTGGCAATCACATGAAATTGAATTGAAAGGGAACTCAGAACCATTACATGAAACTCTTCCCATTACTAAACCTTAAAGTTTCTCACGTTTCAACTGCGCTTGTCGACTTGACTTCTCTGTGGATGTTTAATAGTCTAAACACTTGCCACGGTCCTGGACAAAGATAAATCCAAGGGTGCCCGTAACCTAACCGAGAGGAATAGGTGAACCTCTTTGCTTTTCTTTAAAGGGCTGTAGTGAGAACAATTATATGATCCTTGAAGGCTTCTAGACTATAAAAAAGGTGATCTTCATCTCTGATTCTATCTGCTATTATCACTCCATCTTGTTGCTACAATTTCTGAAGTTGTAACTCTAACTTGATATGTCAGCGATTGCTTGCTAAAGCAGCGTCCTATTTAGGATATGTGTTTTGGCTATGGTCTAAAGTGGGAATAAATCGAGCACTTGATAGTGGCTCCCGCGGCTGTGAATACAGCTCAGTCATTGCAGACATATATGTTTGATACTCTCCCTGGTAATTCACTGGTTGGTGTATCTTTTTCTTTTCCGGTCTGCGGCGGAATGTGGAAAGATACTACACCAAGTGGAAACTCGCCGTACGCCAAGTTACTACCTGACTCAGGCTGTTTTCCTTCTGGACTGTAACTGCGTTTTTCAACTCCCACGATTCGTCGTGTAAAACAAAAGCAACGGCATAGCCTAAGAAAAGAAGAGAGGAACAAAAACAGTATGTATAGAATTATGCAAGAACTAGTACCAGAACTAGTGCCCTTCGTTGTCCAGTAGGACGTACATTTCAGAATTGAATTCTAGTAGATACTCGTATTAAGCAGAGACCACAAGTTAGCTATAAAAAAAAAACAAACAGACAAAAACATCCAAAAAAAAAATAAAGAACTAAAATGAAATATATATATATATATATATATATATATATATTCTTTAGTACGCTGTAAATTTGCCTGTCATCCTTGCAGCATCCTTACACCGAGAAAAATAAATTACCGAATTTGATCCATAAAACAAGGAGACTCTGCATTTCATTTCCTCCACCACACACACCTGCAACCAACGATGATGGCAGCTACGAAACAAATCGAAAGTACTGATACCAAGATATAGAGGAGGAAGTTGGTGTCGTCTGATTGATCGGGAAATCTGGTGGAGAAAACTTCCCCTGTGTCCAGAATATGAGAAAAAGAAGGTATCAATTCCTTGCGTGTACCGATTATAGCCAACAAGATAATCCACTCTTTTTTGTTTCTTTTTTCAATGCTATGGTGAAATATTAATTCTTGATTTTTAATTATTTATAAAAATATTGCATCTAGAGAGCAAGAAATCTCGAAGCATACACCTTACCTTGGCAATCGCCTTTCGAAGTCGCGCCTGGAGCAGAGGTCCTTTTACCGTCGTTACATAAGGTACAGGTTGTCTGACCTTCCTTATCTTGATAACTTCCCCGATTGCAAAGACTGCACTTTGAGCTGTTTATATCATAGAAAGTGCCCAGAGAACAAGCACCTATTGCGTAAAAAAGGTACGGTTTTTGTGCATATTTATTTCTTGCTTAATCTTGGTTTGAAATTATTTGTTCGCGATGCAACGAGGAATATCTGAAAGAGCTTAAATCACCTGTGATACAATACCTTTTTTTAACATTTTCACCTTATACGAAGAAAATTCACCATTAGTTTACGAAGGAACAGAGAGTAACAAACAAAATGACAATAATATCAAACGAAAGCAACACCAACTAAACAAACACACATATATTGATAATGGTAATGGTAATGATTGTCATAAAAATTACGATGATAGTAATAATGATAATGATAATAGTAATAACGATAACAATTGTGATGATAATGATGATGACAGGGATGACGATGACAACATAGCAATGGAATTGATAATAGGCACAACCATGACACTGTGTTGAATGAATAAAAAATTATTAAACCCAAATCCTACCTGTATACTTAATAGTTTAATTTATAACAATTTTAATAATGATGATGAAAATCATAGTAGTATTGATAATAATAAAATAGTAATGGTGATGATAATAATTGTTATTATTACTATTAGATTTATAACAATTATCATAATGTTTAGAACAATTATTATAAGAATTATAATAATTATTATTATAATAACAATAGTAGGGGACGCATACCACATCGTTTTCTGTCGCTTGTGGTAACGAATCCAAGGTTGCAGGTTACATTTGAGTACACAAGATTAAATGATGATCGATCAGCAGTGCTATTTAATCCATCCAGGTATAATCTGAATTGTCCGGTAGCGACGGCATAATTCATCTGAAATAGGACTGCTTCACTTATTTCTTCGGTACTTTCTCCTGATGACGAAGAACTCTTGTCTTTCCTTATGACGAAAGAGAAAAGAACCTCGATGTATGTTTTCGCTGCCCTACTTTTCCTGGATTTACATTCAGGAACCTCCATCTTCTTCACTTGGCATGACTGGCAACCTGTGACTGGTGACAGTACGCCATTCATTCCTTCCTCCAACGCAGAGCGAATTTCCTTTTGACTCTGGACATTGCTGCACTGGATACCAGAAAACTTAATCGAGAAATGATGTTCAATTTTTTCCGGTGCAGCCATACCTAACACGATAAAGTTTGAAAAAAAATTGCGATAATATGAGATAATAAATACTCCCCTGGGGTACAATTTTAAATGAAAGGGATACCAGATGTCTCCCATTTCAAAACATGATCACTTTATCTTGCGCAGTGAACACGCCATCCATGCTTTTATATGCGGAAAAACTGTCGCTCTGCTGGTAACCGTGATAAAACATCTTTGAAACTGGAAGTAGCACTTCAGCAAGCATGGTTAATTGACGTTGATTTCTGCTTTCTTTCCTCTTGTAGTATGACTTGGTTTTGCATAAAATTTTATCAACGTCAAATATAAACGAAAGATTCCTCGTTCCTTGTGGGAGTCAGTTTCTTCTCGTACCTCGCCATTTAAGAGAAACTGTTACTCGAAGATTCGTCAACGTGATATAAGGCCTAATATCCTCTATTCATCTCTTATTTTGTGTCAATCAGTTATTGTGATTGTTATGATAATGAAACGAATAATAATCATCACTGAAGAAAGCTACTTACGTAAACAGGTAGGCACTGCTATTTTGTCCATGCTATTCCATTTCCATTTCGTGTCTGGTCCACAAAGAAACTCAGTCACAGCCTCAGCATCAAAAGAGCGACCTTCATTACAGGACATAACACACAACATCCTACCAGAAACACGTCGGCATGACTTCTTTCCATTCTCAGGCTCGTTCAATTCTAGACATTCTGTGAGGATGCAAAAGGTTCATGTCTCTGCTTTACAGGGAATTGTAGTAGTAAACAATGAGTAATGACGCAAACACCGAATAATTCGGTCAAGCCTTCCACATATATAGAAAGTACAAAAATATAATACCTTTCTCTGTGATTATTTTCTTATCACAGTTGACTCCCCAGTATTGCTTTTCACACTCACAGTCAAAACCTGCAATATCATCTATGCATTTTCCATGCACACATGGATTTGGGTCGCAGTCATCGATGTTAATGTCACAGGACGGACCAGTGAACCCCTCCACACAAATGCAGTAGAAACGACCATGACGAGTCTCACACTGTTGAAAGTGAGAGCAGTTACTGCAGTCGTCCATAGCTGAAACGAGTAAAATACATTCGAAGGATTTTTAACCCTAGCATTGGTATGGTAAGTGCATTTGCTCATGAAGCGAAGAAGATTTCGCGGAAGAACTCTTCCAAATCTTGTTCTCATTTTTCCATTATTATCATTGTCAATAGTACTAGTAATAATTGTAGGGGTTTTGGAATCGGTAGCGAACTAGCAAGATTTTAGGATTATAACTTTTGATCTTCCTCACATCACTATTGTTACTTTATTTTTCATCCTCTCCTTGTTTTAATTACAAGAAATAAACGTAAACGAAGTGTGGATCCGTTAGTTTTTTCTTATATCTTTTATTGTACATTTTAATGATTTTTTCAACTTTTATTCTTGCAAATGACTGTAAGTGACTGTAGTAAATAAAGGTTCATTATCATTAATAATATTATTATTGTTATTGATATTATTTTTATTCTTGTTATAGCTGTGTAAACTTATGTATGCTACACGATAGCTAAGACACAGTAGAGCGCTGTTGCTTAGCCTAAAGGCCAGTTGGAAAAAAGAAAATGAAAATAAAAAAACTAATTTATCATGCATCACGCGTGTGCAATTAGTCAGAGTGCAAAGCACGTGTCAAATAGATCAATAAGCAAATACATGAATAAGCCAATCACCTTCTGACGCAGTTTTTCCAGTGCACTGAATTACACATAACATCACGTGAAAAAAGATCACCTTGGCCTTTAAATTAAATACCATGATAATGAAAAAATGTAAACAATTAGGAAGATATTACCTTTGCATTGCGTTTTGAATTTCTTTACCACTTGCCCTTGGACTCCGACAAGAAAGTTGCTCCAAGCTCTTAGATTTCCCTCGACAGGCCAGGTGCAGTTGTGAGCTGCGTTCCACATATGGTTGGAATTTAATGGTAGATCCCAGAAGTTCACTTGATGTAACCTACCCATAAAGGAAGTGGTTGGAGACCATTTCTCAACGGGATATCTTTGGCCGAGAGCAATCCATCCACCACCTCTTATTTTGCCTCCGACTTTTACATTACTTACACTTTTTCTCTCTGGACCATCGATATAGACGGATACATTTCCAATTATTCCAATCCATGTGACCCCAAGGTAATGCCAATGGTCATCCGATAGCTTAAAATTGACTGTGATCATTTCATCTTTGATCTGCAGGTGAACTTGGGATTCCGTAAAAGAGATCACGATGATCTCCTGTGAGTTATCGGGAACAGTGTAGGTAAATAGTGTTCCTGATTTACACGTGACGTCAATTCGAACAAACATAGTGATGGTGATATATCTCATGTTTGGAATTCCCTCGCCGTCCGTCAATAAGACCATGTCGTCGGCGCTCTTGCGGTTAAATGCCAAATCGAAGTTACTGCCGAAAACTGAACCGTGCAAGAGCGAAGAAAGAAATTAAATAT